ATCCTGGGAAGACAAAAGAGGGGAAAGTAGAAGGAAAGAGGAATAAAAATGAACAAGATGCATTAAGCACAGGTACCAGTTCCCCAAGACAAATGTAATTACTACAAATTGCAAACATATACTATTAATAAAAAAAAATAGTGGTTTCTGCCACCTATGAACCAGGCCGTCATTTAACCTGAGTCTCCTCACCCGTGAAAGAACAAAACAGAGTCTCCTTCAAAGCACTGCCACAAGGAATAAATGAATTCACATTTGTCAGGCACTTAGAAGTGCCTCATAAATGTGTTCTAAGTCACAGTGTAATGCTACCAACGACTATCCAGTGTTAGCCTGGACCTAAGAGGCTAACAGCCTGGTTGTCTCTATAGCCCCCTTACTTTAGCCAAGAGTCACAAGCTCTAGGTTCTCAGCCCACCTGCACTGCTGACCCACTGCCCACAATATGTTCTTGGGCTTGATAACTTACTAAAAGAACTCCCAGAACTTGGGAAAGTGCCATACTTAAATTCTAGTTTTATTGTAAAACATACATCTCAGGACTAGCTAAACGGGGAGGTTTGGGAAGGGTGTCTCAAATGTGAGATATGTATGTCCTTGGGAAAGCAGCTTCCTCCTGCCACACGGACATATGACTACCAGCAGGGAAATTCACCTGAGCTCCAGTGCCCAGAGTCCATTAGGGTTCCATCAATCACTGTCCTGTGGCTGAGCTCTGTCCCCAGCCTAGCAGCCCTCTTCACTCCAGAGGTCATATTAATCATGTAACTCAAGGCCCCAGCCTCCCAATCCATGATTAGTCTTTCTCGTGCCCACCAAGAGTCACCTTGCCAGCTGTCCCTCAAGTGACTGCATCATGGGTGTGTGGTCCTCACCACTGCATGAGTCCATGGAGGGTTTTATAGCTGGGTGTGCTGTTGGGAGGTGAAGACTGGTGGAAAGAGGCAGGCCACTGCAGATGTGGTCTGGCAGGGTGTGTGTGTGTGTGTGTGTGTGTGTGTGTGTGTGACTATACATCCTCCCTCCTGCTCTGATGCTCCCCTTGCTGCTTCCTGCCTGCCATGCCATAAGCTTGCTCTTATCTGCCATGGCCAATCTACTATGCCCCCTCTCTGCCTTGGAGCCAGCCTATGGACTGAAGCTTCTACAAACTCTGAGCTGAAATGCACCTTTCTTCCCTTAACTTGTGGGGGTCAGATATTTTGTCCCAGCAATGAGAAAGTAACTAAGACATCAACAGAAACTCAGGTGTGGCCTGGAGCCCACCATGAATAACAAAGACACTCCTATCACTTGGGAGATTCCAAAGACTTAGAGGTTATCCTTCATGGATCCTCTAAATTTAGGGGCCAAAGTTTTTACCATACATTATGAAATCTTACCAGCTAATAGGCAGAGGAGCAAGGAAAATATTGCCTCAAGGGAACATCTGAAAAGAAAGGCAGGAATATCTCTGGCACAGTCATTACATAGAAGGAAGGCCTCTCTCCCTCCGCTGACTGGCTTTGGTTATAGAAGGATGCAAACCATTGAGTTATAATCTGGGCTCTTGTTGGGCTATACAGAAATTGTGAACCATCTGCAATCCTTTCTATGAGAGGTAGGTGTGATTTAAATACATGCATACACAAACAATGGATGAAAACAGCAAAGATTTTTATTTCTGGCAACCCAGTGGGTTGACTTGGCAGTTTCTGGCACTGCCTGCGTTTTGTGACTACACAGAGATGGCTGAGAGCTAGCATGACATCCCCAGGAAAGTCTCCTCCTCTGTCTGGGGCCTGTTTTTAGCCCGCTAGAGCTTCAGTCCTCATTCCTGTAGCCTCCCTTTACACGCGATGTCTCAAGGCCTTCCTGGATGGCCTGGTTCAGCAAGGACAGCCAGAATTCCAGGCAAGAAAGAGTAAAAAGCTGTCAGGTCTCTTAAGGCCCAGGACTGCCACAGTACATATTTTTCCATCATCTTCTGTAAGTTAGAGCAAGTCACAAGACCAGCCCAGACTCAAGGGGAGGGACAACAGACCCTATCTCTTCACAGAAAGAGCAGCATCCTTCAAGCATGTACAGGGAGGGCAGGACTCACAGCAGCTCTTGGGAGATTCTACCACTTTCCTCTTACCTTCCACATCCTCCTCTGGAAATGGGGATTTTAGTATCACATTGCTTTATGAGTATCCTCTTCCGGGGCCAGGGATCTAGCTCAGTGGTGCTGCCACCTGCCTCACAAGCGCAAGGTCCCAAGTTTGATCCCCAGTACCAAATTTTAAAAGTATCCTCTTCTTTAATCATCATAACAACCCAACAAAATAAATTTTGTTTTGTAATTTTACAGAAAAGTAACAACAGGTAAGTGGCAGAGCCAAAATTTGAATCCAGTTCTGCATGGTTCCAAAGTTTGAAACACTGTATTTCTTTTTTATTACTAAATACACAATCAACTGGAAAATTTTGGAGGTGGAATCTAGAATTTTTATCTTTTTTGGGGGGTGGGTACTGGGGGTCAAACTCAGGACCTTGCACTTTCAAGGCAGGTGCCAGAACCACTGAGCTAAATTTCCCCCCCTGGTTTTTTTGGTACAGAGGTTTGACCCCAGGCCTTTCATACTGATTCTCTGTATCACCGACCTGATTGGGCTGGGTTTGAATTTGAGATCCTCCTGCCTCAGATTCCCAGATCCAAACACGGATCACCATGCCTAGCTGCCTCTGTTATTTTATTTTATTCATTAAGTTTATTGGTACATTTTGGGTAAACAATATGATGACATTTATCATTGGAAATCTGTACCTTTACATATCTTGGTTCTTGTTTTTTCCCCATTCCCCTGTACTCCCTTAAACCCCTCCAATCCTCCCTATTCACAAAGACTTGGTTCCCATTTTTTCCTTTTCTCATATTTTTCCTTTCCCTTCTTTCCTTTCCCCTACTCTTCTCACTTCGCCTTCCCCTTTAGACTTTTTCTTCCTGTTTCACATTGTCTATCATACATTTTGATCCTTATTTACACTTTCAGTTTCTCATACCAGAGAAATTATTTGGTATTTACAGGTGTGTCCTATTTATTTCACTTAAGACTATCACCTCAATATGCGTCCATTTAGCTATAAATGACTCTACTCATTCTTTATGGCTGAGTAGTACTCCATTTTATATTTTAAAAATCTTTAACCAGTCTCCAGTTGATGGGCAATTGGGCTGTTTCCAAGTTTAAGCTATTACAAACTGTACTGCTATAAGCACGGGTGAGCATGTATCACTGTGGTATTATTCTTTTAATTATTTTGGGAAGATACCCCAGCAGGGGAATAGCTGGGTCAAATGGGACCTCTAATCCTAGTTTTTTTGGGTATTTCCATATTGATTTCCAAGCCTCTGTTATTTTTAAAACCACCTCAATAATGAAGGAGAAGTACTCAACTTTACTGTACTTTGGTGAAACTTCTCAAGTTGCTTAGTAGTTCAAAGACACTAAGGAGACAAACTCAGGGGAAATTCGGATTTGCAGGGCAAAAAAGAAGCTTAAATAAGCAAAGTGCCTAGAAGTGGGAAGAATAAATGGCTTTAAAAAGAATTACACTTTCTAGAGGTTGACTGTGAAAGTGAAGAAATGAAAGACTAGAAAGAAAGCCAGACCCAATTATTTACAATTAACAAAGTTTACATTTTATTTAATAATTCATCTGATTTATGCTTGATTTGGAGATTGTTTCCTCCGCTAGGAAACCCCAACTTCTCCACCAGGGCAACATCTTCTCACTGAAGGCTTCTTTGGCCCTGTCTGAGAAGCCTTCACCGACTCCTCATCCCCAGGTGGCTCACATATGTAAGGGTCCTTCCCCCATGCAATCATTTACAGCTACTGTGTTGTAAACGATGATTTCTATTCCTTCTTCAGCTCTGGGCTGTGAGGCTCTTGAGGGTGAGGACTATTCAGGAAGAGAAGAAAAAGGGAGAGTTGCAAAATGAGTCTTAGAACTAGGAGATGAACAAAGGAGGTGAAGGGGCCACTGGGAAGGTACACATTGTTCTTTGAAAAGCATGAAGACTTGTTGCAAAGACAAGATGAAGGTTATGCAGCTTATCAACAGGCAGCAGTGAGATGCACGGCAACCCTGCGGTTGCCTCTACATAACTACATCAATTCAAAGCAGCTGGCAAACCAGTCCCTTTCAGAATTACGTGCATTTTACTTTATACATATAACTAATGGTTGAAATGACGTAAATACAAAAGCCAGGGAAGAATTTTTTCCTTCACCTAGACACAAGTGAGTTAGATAAAGAACTCCTCCGGGTGACTTAACTCTCTAACGTTACTTCGTTTACTCTTTTAAAAAATTATAGGGGCTGAGGATGTGGATCAGCGGTAGATCACTTGCCTAGCATGCACAAAACCCCAGCACCACAGAACAAAATAAAACCGCCCCTCCTCAATTGCTATAACCATATGTGACCTGTCAGATGCTTTACAAAATATTGGTGGTAGGTGATAATGTCTATACTATTACATTATTAAGCAAGTGCACTCTCCCCTTCCCCCAGCCTCTCTAAAACACAAAAAGTTTAGCGAGGAACCGTGTTTCCCTTAAAATAAGACCTGGCTGGAAAATAATTTGCCTTAAAAACTAGAACTCAAAAAAGCCATCCCCAATCAGCCTATCCTCGGGTTACCTGCTATCACTATTCTCTTGCTCAGCTGCCACTCTGTAAGGCAGGTAAGGCGAGGACACGCTGATTGGGATTGGCATTTTTTATCTCTAGTTTTGAAGGCTATTTTCCCAGCCAGGTCTTACTTGTGGAGAAACACAGTAACGGAGTTCGGCTGTTAGTTTCAAGCACCTTGTATCTGGAGAGCATCTGCCCTTATCCAGCATGGCGGCACAGTCTCTCATCCCAGGCTACACTCCAGCCGCCCTTCTGGAACTGTCCACTGAGGTGACTCGGCTTCTCCGACGCCCTGTGATGACGCAGACGCCCGGAGATAACCAGAACGCGGGCCGCCCAGATTTGCGCAGGCGCAGCGAGAGCGCGGGTGGGCGGAGCTGGTCAGGATGAGTAGCGGAGTGACCGAGGGGTCTGTGGGTTGTGAGGCCGTCCCGGCCGGCAGTGGCGGAAAGAAGAGGGATTCGCTGGGGTCTGCGAGCTCAACGCACCTCATTATCAAGGGTACGGAGTGCGGGGCTCTCGCCCCTGGTGGGCCTCAGTGAAGCCCCGCTTGCCAGGCGGCGCCCTCTGAACCTGGCCCGCCC